CATATTCTAAATATTTTTTTTACTTTAAAATTATTCTTTATTCTTTATTTTTTATTATTTTCTTTAATTTTTTATTTTTGTTTGTAATTCGATTCGCTTAATTTTTTGAAATATTTATTCCATTATTTTTTGTTGAAAGTTTTAATATTTGAATTTTTACAAGACAAAATACCATCTAACTGTGGAGTTGAGGCAAATGATGGAAACATGTACATGGAACAATAGTTTTGATAGTTTCACTACTGTGTAAACCTTGATGCGCATCCATCCGCGATTGATGTTACTAGCAATCACATACAATGTTTTGATTGCTAAACATTGACGAGGAGACGTTTATTCCTTAATTTAGTTTTCTTTCTTTAACTGCAATTTTATTTTAGACAAAATTATACATATTATTTAATACACTATAAATTGGAAATATATACACAACGTTCCTTTTTCTTGTCAAAATGCATGATTGGCCAGACGTTAGCTAGAGTCGTTCTAGCAATTTCTCAATCGCAATAGGCAGACCTTCTTCTTCAAAATTGCATTTTCAATATTTTTGTAGTTGGGAGAGATTTGTTTTATTGTTGCGTACGACTTCGTTAGATGGAATTCACTCGTACCCATTATTTTCAAAATACATTTCTCTTTTATTTTCAATTACACATTTTTCAATAAAAAATTTGTTGTTAATCTATTATCAGAGTTTTTTTTTTTTTACGAACATTTCCGTCGACACAATTTAGTTTTAATTGCTATCACTTTATTAACCACAAAATTTGGATCGATAACTTAAATTTATTAAAATAAGTTTTTATAATTATCAACAATGGAAATATCTATGTAGGATATTTCGCCAATAAAACTAAGTGAGATCAGCTACTTACTCAGGGGCGGAGGGAGGGGTGGGCTAAACCCAGCCCAAAAAGCAAAATTTTATGGGGAAAAAGCATATATCCCTGATTAATATATATTAATTTATTTTATACTACTAAACTGTTTTAATAACCAAATTACTACATAATCCCATTACAATCCCAATAGTATTGTACATGAAACTTTCCTTTTTGGATCTGTAATTGAAAGTCTTCATGGACAAACAAAACCGGTAATATGGAAATTCACATTCAAATTGCAATTGATTGATACTAAAAAAAGAATTAGTTCACAGGTTTACGGTTTATGTTAATATGAATTTAAAAATTTTTTAAACTAAAAAAATAAAAAATCGGGAAAACCACCAAATCGCAACTAGTTCACCGGTTTATGGTTGAACCGGTCGGTTCAGTTGGTTTGAGTGATTTTGTCATAATCAGTTAGCTTAGCATGATTTTGCCCGATTTTGGATTCGGATTTTGTTTTACCGTGTGGTTTAGAGCATTTTTTATTATATCGATTCATTGAAAAAAAAAATTCAGCCAAGCCTAACGTAACTTTTTGGCTCCGCCCCTGTACTTACTTCACATGTAAGAAATACTACACGTGATGGTCTATCCGTAATAACGATATTATTTGTGACTACGGATGATTTAAAATACAATCATATGTAATTTGTATCTCACAATCACAATTTCTTGTGATTAACAAATTACCAAGACTTGAATTTACGGATTATATTATTTAATTTATTAAAATATTAATTAAATTAATTAATAGATCTGCTATAAATGAAATGCATCAATTATATATCTTCTATCTATATATTAAAAGTGGCTATGTAACGGAATTTCTTATTTTTAATGGAAAAACTAACGGAATTTGTTGTTTTAACGGACTATGTAACGAAATTTCTTATTTTCAACAGGCAGCTGCACATTCTTTCAGTGTTTTT